GAGCTGGGACTAGAGAGCGACGCGAGGATTTGACAATTCAGAAGCTATAAAGTTGCTTGTCTCGAGATATGGAGTCGCCTCACAAGGTTTGAGTCCAGTTGCCATCGAGCCCAGAGCGGCACCCTCAGCTGAACCATATATATGTCGTGCTGATTCTGTTTCCGACTTGGGCGCATTGTGTACAATAAGTCCAGGTCAACGAGTTTATAAGCTCTCCCGACGTCACCATTCACTTGCTGGGCTGATTTCCCGGGCCTAACAAACCTAGCATGAGACGATCTTGTCGATCTCTCTGCGCCCGCTGCCTGCGTGTCTCTGCTCGCTGTGCTGCAGACGCTTGAGCTGACCTTGAATGCAGCTAGGCAGGCGCCCAATAGGCGCGCGAGCACTGAGCGACCGACAAGAATTGAGCACCCCTACTCCCACCGCTCTGGCCTTCCATGTCAAATCAGACTCTGACATACAAACATTCCGGGAAACGCGACGACTCTTGCTGCCTGTTGAATCCCTATTTCTCTTATAGGGGATGAGGCCTTCCATCGGACAACATCATGCGCCTCGATGGTTCAGGAAGCTGCAATTCGCTCCGCAGAGGTCCATCAAAATTTGAAGATCTCGCTGGGACTCCTAGAGCTCGCCGTGGGCAAGTATGTATAGATAGAGCTCAGAAGGTAATAATAGCCCAGAGTGTTCACACGATATGTATAACCTACTGCGGCGCCACCCCTGCGACGGCTTCCATGCGCATCGAGGCAGCGGTTCGCGAAGAAACAACGTCTTGTCTCCGATCCTCCACCACCGTTGCCCCCTCCCAACTTTTCCGAGTCAGGAATGCGTCTCCTCGTCTCGCTTGGTCTCCTTTCCTTGTCGGCTGCGCCGACACTTGCTGCATACAATCTTGTCGAGTCCTTCTCAGGCTCGACCTTCTTCAACGGTTGGGACTTCTTCGATGGATTTGACAACACGACCAACGGTTAGGACGCACGCGGGTAGTCTCCAGGGATGAGCTGGTTGCTTATTAGAGTGTCTCTCCAGGTGATGTCAACTTCCTGAGCCAGGCCAATGCTACAGCCAGCCACCTTACGTTCGTCGACGATGCCGGACATGCGATCATCAGAGTCGATAACACAACCTTCGTCCCGTTCAACGAGAAGCGAAACTCCGTACGTCATCGGCCATTCACGCCTGACGACAACAGCCTCTCCAGTCTCAATCTTACACTCCCTTAGGTCAAAATCATGACACACGACTACTTCTCCGTAGGGAGCGTCTTCGTGATGGACGCCGTCCATATTCCGTTCGGCTGCTCGGTGTGTGATTCGTGGGCTCGGTGTCCGAGGTTCTAGCTCGAGCTTATCCCTCTCCATCCCGTCAGGTGTGGCCCAGCTTCTGGACCAAGGGCCCCAACTGGCCGGCCGGGGGCGAGATCGACATCATGGAGCTCGTCAACTTGGCGCAAGACAACCAGATGACTCTCCACACTACCCCGGGGTGCACCCAACCTCAGGGCGTCATGCAACTGGGTAAAACCTCAGGCACGGACTGCTCTGCAGGAACGAATTCCTCCGAGGGGTGCACCGTCATAGAGACGCAGTCGAACAATGCCGGTGCCGCCTTCGCTTCTGCCGGTGGAGGCGTCTGGGCTGCGCAGTTCGACGTTTCTGGTATCTTGTAAGTTTCCTGCATCCGGATCTCAGGGGACACCCTCACTGACGGGTCTTCACATGTAGCGTTTGGTTCTGGAGCGTAAGTCTCCGATGGTTCAAGAGCGAGACCCGGAAATTCACTGTTGTCGTGCTATATAGCGATCGAGCGTTCCCGCGGACGTCAGCAACACGTCAACTTCTGTAGACCCATCTACATGGGGAACTCCCTCAGCATCATGGCCATCAGCAACTTGCAATATCACGAACTTCTTCACGCCCCAGCAGCTTGTCATTGATATCACTCTCTGCGGTGACTTGTAAGTGTATTCATATCCGTTGTCATCCGAGGCTAAGGTGACCACGCGCTGCGAACTATAGCGCAGGACAACCGACCATCTACGCCCAGACATGCGGCGGCCCTGTCGGGAACTCCTCAACCTGCGTATGTCCATCCGCGAATCCTGACATTGACGGAACTCTGACACGTATGTCTTTGCTCTTAGTACCTCGAGAACGTAATCAACAACGGAACGAGCCAGTATGCCGACGCATACTTCGAGATCAACTATGTCAAGGCATACTCGCTAGGAGACGCGCTTGACCCGACGGTCTCGGGGACCAGCGTAATTCTGTCATCAATATCTCCCACTGCCACTTCCACTTCCAGTGCTAATGGAAGCGGAACGTCCTCGGGGTCCACCAAGAACGGAGCTGCACGGTCCCTTGGTCGCCAAAGCCGAAGCCTTTTGGTTTCAGTAGTGCTCGCTGCGATGGTGTTTGCTCTCTGCATGGCCTGATTAGCGGCCAATTGAACGATGCGCACGGACTAATGATAGTCACAATCGATGTGTTGATATACGAAACGAGCACATCGCAGTATTAATACTACAGACAATTCTCCTGTTTGCCTATCCTGATTGACATGAGGCTGGATCATGATCGAGCCGAATTCGAGTAAGAATTTCACTGACTGCACAGAACGTGGAGCCTGCGTGCGTTCCCGTTGGCTTAACCGTACCATACCGGCCAACGCTGTTTTGTAGCCGTGCTTGCTGTGAATCATATGAGAACAGTTCAGGGCGTTTCCGCCACGGAGTACATCAGATTGGGATGTAAGACGTACACATTTCCGAGAAACCGATGCGGCATTCCTCGGAACAAGGATGACGTCCTAACATACAAACTTTCCTTTGCTTTTCCCCGCCTTGATAACTCTGAACGCCCACAATATTAGACGCAGAGCAGTGTGCGGGGTAGGATCGACGTAAATATGTAAACTGCCTACAGGTATGCGACTGCCCACAAAGTTGGTTGAACAATTGGTATATTGGCAACAACGTACGTCTACCTCGATGAAGAAGTAAGATGTCAGACACATAGTAAAACCAAGAGACAAGCGTACGGTCTCATGGCTGAATTCATGCCTTTTTCGAGGAAGCTTGCTCTTCCCCGCATTAGTAACTCCATCCGTCCATAGGCAGGGACAGGGAGCAGTTGTCGGGGTAGAAATTTGTACCGAGGCAAAGGGCGAGCCTACGCCGCAGCAGGAAGGCCAAAGACACAAAGAGGGATGGATATAGGAGGGAATGACTATCGTTACAAGTAGTCCGTCGCACTACCAACCCTGAGTTACGGTGACGCTTAGCAAGAGAACACGCGACGATGCGATGAAGACGTACCAGTCCGGCAAAGAGACGTATGTCGGCATGCGTCTCGTACTGTCCACTCTCGGCATTGTTTACCTTTACGACCTCGAAGCGATTCTCTTCCGCATTCCAATGGAATATGCGCTTTACGCCAGCCCACCTGCACCACTCTAAACACCGCCAACATGGCTTCGCGCTGCCCATGCCGTTCTTCGTGAAGCGCGCGACATAAATGTCCGCGCCGTTCGCCCGAGGGTCGCGGCGGCGAGCATCCCAACCCCTGTCGCCGTCCTTGAGACGAGTCGCGGTCGTGCCGTTTGTCGACATGCCACAATCTGCGGCGGACGGGGGTGCGCGTGCATGCCGGGACGAAGAAGCGTGACTCTCACTGCTGCTAGTCTCCGCCACGCTACTGGAACTGCTACTGGATCCCCTCCGCGACAGCGACGACGGAGCCTGATTTGAGTTGCGCTGTCTGCGCCTACTCTTGCGCTTAAGTAGCTTAGAGCCACCAAGCGCGGTCGTCTGAGTCATACTCGAGCTCGAGCTCGATGGTGGTAGTGACGGCGGGCCCGGAGAAAGATGCCTCAGGGCCCGCAAGCCCTTTTGGCCCTTTTGTTGTATGTGATTCTGGTGGTGTAGCCGGTGAAACCCGACGCTCCATGCCTTGAACCTGCGTCTTGAACGACGGGGACATGCCAGTCAAGCTGAAGATGGCGTGCATCTCCGCGTGCATCGACACGGGCTACATGGCGCATGCACGTACATGAGGCGTCTGCGGTGGCTTCTCAGAGAAGGAGAGGCGATTGATCTTACCTTGCGATGCCCGTGCGTCCTGACCTCCGCGCCGTCATAGTGAGGCCTGTGATGGTTGTACCCGGAGGATATGACCTTGCCTCCCTTGACCATCACGGCACCTAGGGTAAAGCACATAGGGCTCTTTGACGCGGCCTCGGCACACTGCGACAGATAAAACTGAGTCTTGTTCATGGCGGTTTGTATGTTGAGGAAAGACGCTGATGAGCTCATGGTAAGCGCGAAAGGCATAGTGGTGACACGAAAACACGCGCATATACTCACATACAAATGCTTGGGGCGAGATATGATGGCGATATGCGCAACACTACGACGGAGACGAAAGAAAGTGCAGGAAGACAACCTGGACTGAGGCAAGTCAACGACGATGACGCATAAAATACCGCGGGGGACAAGCGCCCTGCCCTGAAGTCTATCACGGGACCTGATAAATTTCGCGTTCTCAGCGCGCCTGTCAAGGCAGCCATCGATCTCTGTCCCGCACCAAAACTTCCCTCATACACCATGTCTGTAGATCTCGGAAAGCTTGAGGCCCACCTTGCGAGCCGTTCCTACGTCGAGGGGTGAGTACCTTTCCTCTGTTTTAGCGTCGAGAGACGCTTCGGTACGATGAACACAACGCTATGGTCCGTGTTTCCAAGAAGCGACTAGACACCGCTGCTCCAGTATGCCGACAATCATTCACCTAGCTTTCTGACCCTCTAGTCTCTTCATTCTGTGTGTTACATCTCAACAACGAGTGCTGACACGTCATCACACAGTCACACCCCGTCGCAGGCGGACGTCACTGTTTTCAAGGCTATCTCTTCCGCCCCCAACGCGTCCGCGAACCCTCACGTCGCTCGCTGGTACAACCACATCAAGTCCTACGAGGCTGAATTTGGCTCCCTCTCTGGCTCCAGCTCTGCTGGCGAGGCTTTCCTCGGCGGTGCCGCCGCTGCGACTCCTGCCAAGGCTGAGGAGGACGATGACGATGAGGTCGACCTCTTTGGCTCTGACGATGAAGAGGATGCGGAGGCTGAGCGCATCAAGGCTGAGCGTGTCGCTGCCTACAATGCGAAGAAGGCCGCCAAGCCCAAGACTGTTGCGAAGGTTCGTCTATATCCTCGGTTGTATTCACACATCCTCGGAATGTGATGTTGACTTCACGCCCCTTGTAGTCCGTCGTCACCTTCGAGGTGAAGCCCTGGGATGACGAGACCGACATGGTCAAGCTCGAGGAAGCCGTCCGTTCCATTGAAATGGAGGGTCTCGTCTGGGGTGCCTCCAAGCTTGTCCCCATCGGTTATGGTATCAAGAAACTACAGATCACCCTTGTAGTCGAGGACGAACTCGTCTCGCTCGACGAGCTCCAGGAACGCGTTGCCGAGTTTGAGGACTACGTCCAGAGCTCTGACATCGCTGCCATGCAGAGTGAGTATCGAAAATTTTCACTTTCGAATTGATTGATTGACGATCACGCGCACAGAGCTCTAGGGCCCATGTCTTGTATATCCCCAGCATATATCCAGGGTTCTTATAGGTTGTATCGTCGTGTTGTACGGATGGTAGAAGGCAGTCAAACAAAATGTTGTAACGATCTAGAAATGCATTGCAGCGTTGACGTCCATCGTTGGTTCCGGTCCCTCCGAAAGCGAATGTGGACGTGCTATCTCGATTATCTCTGCGTCCACCGGGTCGTGCGCCTCGTAACATTGATGTCTATTTCATGGCAATCCGATAGGTCAGTCGATCTACCGCCCTTAGACCCCCCACCTTTACTCCATGAGACCAAACGCATTGCATCAACTGGTACCCGTATATATTGCCTGTCGGGCGATTGGATCGGGTCTCCTCTGGAACAATACTGTTATGTGTGGCCGTCGATCTCGCTCAACTGCTCCTGTGGGATAGTCAGGCTGAGGATCAGGTGGAGGTGGCGTCGGTGAATATTAATGGTTCGCTTCCAGGACATCATGTTCAAGTCAAGGCTTGCCTAGCTATCCTCGCCCTCAGAACCGATCAAGCATGACAATCCTGCCATAGCGTTGATTCCCAGTTGTATATAAGCTTCAACACCCAGCGATGGCTCTCCAGACAGCCAATGTCGCCGCGCCACCCAGTGGCATGAGAAATAATTAATGAATACTCGCCCAATAACGCAAGTCCATCTAGTTGGTACCTCGTTTGGGTTGTCTTCCGATATTGCTGCCCCCTTCCCAGGTTACCTTGAGAGCGACTCTTATATCTCACAATGTGTTCACGGCAGATATGCCGGGAATCAAGCTTCAAGGGCAGCTATGCCTCCGTCCTAGCCTAACACTACACTTTTCTTGCTTGCATCGTTTTCTGCGTTCGGAAATAATAACCATGCACCGCAGCGTAACCTGATAGTATAGTATCAGCGTCCGTTGGTTCCGACAGAGACGACTGATATAGTAGCTCCGAGCATAAATGAGAACTGAGTTTTGTTTCTACGTTCAATATCCAGGATCGGTACCGTCTCCTCTCTCCACTGCGTATTGGGTTTGTACGGTGATTACGATGGTGTACGTGTCTCGACTGTAGCCTTGTGTTAACGCCGTGGCACGTCATGATATTCATCAGATAGGGACATCGGTGGGATCATCACCTTTGTCTCCGCTCTGGTCGCCTCCTCCCGTCTTTTCTTGAGATTGGACGCTGGCGGTAGTGGAGCTAGGAACATCCTCCCGCCATCCGCAAAATTCTACAAATTCTTAAGCCTTGTCTCGACAGCGACGGACAGTGCTCATTTCAGCTTACCAAATTCGTCGTCAGTTTCGAAGGGACGAGTTACGTGAAGCCGTAAGACCTGCGAAAAGCCCCGCATTCTTTTCCCGAGTTCATCCATCCACCAGCTCTCATTCTCTTGCGCATCGAACAGGGTCAAGTGAAAGACTTCGAGACGTGGAAAACGTTCGAGGATGTCTGTCAGGTGAGCCCTGGCAAAGAGCCGATCGAGCGTATCAAGTCGGGTGACTGCGCAGTAGCATACTTCTCGGCCCGGGTTCGCCTCTGGCACGCCTGGAGTATCGTGGAAGGGTCTGACCATGTTTGTACGTGGGGCCAGCTCGAAAGAACGAAATGCGGTAAACGCGCGAACGCTGGCGAGAATGGCATGGCTGATAGAGAACTTCAACCACTCTTTCACTTCGTTCGGCTCGTCGAGCTCGATTGACAACAAGAAGGACAAGGAAATCGACTGGAGAAGAGGAAGGGACGCTACAAATGCCCAGCGGTCAGCCTCTGTCAAACACAAGTCAGTATCAATATGCATACGGCGCTCGAGTGCTCGCACCCACCGGTATGGCTATCGTCGACTTGACTCTGAATCTCAAGATGGGTGACAGAGTACCCAAAGACTGTCGGAGGGAGCATGCCTGTTGGCATACCCCGTAGCTGTGTTCAGGAACAACGGTGAGTTGCTCGACCCACGGAATTTAGCGGCCTGGGGATGTCACATACATTGAGGTATTCCAGATATTTGCAGCATGATGGAGGACGCATCTCGCCCAACTTCCTCCTATAGATTTCCGAGACTGCTGTGCTATACTCTCTGCTATAAGACCACTTCAGGAGCAGGTGCTGGATGTCGGGGAAGGACCATATTAGATGCAGCAAAGTGCTGATCGTATGTCCATCGATAGCAATCTCCAACCTCGTGATATGCGCGAAGAATGGCAGGGAGCGTGTATAAGTGATATGGTGACTCTTGAGTAGGGGGAATACCAAAGAACGACAGTTTTGCAGGATTTGTGGTAGAGGCGACCGTGATAGGTAGTTATTCAGGCTTCCTGGCGGCCGATAATGCTCCAATTCAATAACGAGGTCGGCAAGGAACGGCTGCGCCGTGAGCGTGCGTATGAGTAGGTCAACTTGGCGTTCAGTGCTGAGCTCGACGATCCGAAGAAGGTTTAGGCGACTACGGGGGTACCAGGCTTTGCAAGTCAGAGCACAAGCCCGCAAAGTGGCATATGTGCTTGGTCGCCGCGTTGCCGGCTTATTGACGAATTCCCGATGAGGAAAATTGCATAAATCAACAATTTGCTCACAGCGCTCGACTGGAAGCTTGCATCGAGACATTTCGAGCGATATTGGGAGCTTGGATGGTCCTGATACCTAGAAAGGTGGGCGGGACCGTCGACAACCGAGGGTAGGTGGTACGCAGCTTCAAGGCAAGATGCACTAAGTATCAGTGCTTGCCAGGGCTGTGTAGAGAAGGTTCTCACCCATATAGAACCTGTGCATCCGAGTCATGCTGATACGGGTGACAGCCACGATCCTGGACTTGTCAGCGGAGACTATCGATGAACCACAAAATACAGCTATGTAGAACAGCACACACTGCTAGCAAGCGGCATGACGCTGCACCTCAGGAGCTTGCAATCAAGGAGTAGCACGCGACAGGAGTCGACGTCGGGGAAGAGCGAAGGCTCGCGCTTCGTACAATTATCACGACCCTCGTCTTTGTCAGATCTCCCATGTGCATACGTGTACAGCAGCTCAGCTGACCGTCGCTAGAAGAACAGTCGCACGGCGTGCTTTGCAAGCGCATCCGCTCGGGAATCGCGGACTGGTGCGTTCGCAGTTCTGGGTCACTCAAGCACCCGGCCCACTCAGCTCGGAGAGCCGAGGCTTTGACCCCACACTCTTCGGACAGACGCTAGCCATTCTTCGCGTTATAAGACGTGCGCAGATGGCTGTTTCTCACCACTGAGCGCACTATCCAGCTCGACGCCCTCCTCAGACGTCAAACATACAGCTTTCATTGCCATGCCGTCAGATTGGGAGAAGTACGGATTCGCTCCTGTGACAAGAGATCCCGAGGTTCTCTTCAAGGACCATCCGACCGCTTCTGGCCCGAACCCAAAGCAGGATCTCTTCACTGTTGAAGACTTCCCACTGCCCGACACCCCTCTCGTCAGGGAAGTGCATGCGTTCGCGCAAGTAAGTCTTCCGAACTGACCGCGCGGACCCTCCGCAAGCACGTATACTGACCTTTCCGCGTAGAAAGAGCTTGATGAGCAGACCTTTAACCACAGCAATCGCGTCTTCGTCTACGGCTCTGCGCTCGTGAAGACGCACTTCCCCGAATGGAAATTTAACGAGAACCAGACGGCGGTAGAGACGTACGCGCTGTCGTGCTTGCTGCACGACATCGGCACGGCGGAGAAGTTCCTCGCGACGACGCACATGTCGTTCGAGTTCAAGGGCGCGATCGTGGCGCGCGACCTCATCCTCCAGCTTGGAGGCCCGGAGGCCGAGGCGGATAGTGTGTGCGATGCTATCATCAGGCATCAGGACATCTTCGTCAAAGGGTGCGTGAGCAACAATGTTTGCCGAGTGGGGACTTCGGCTCAGGAGTCTTGCAGTGGGAACATCACTTTGGTCGGCCAAATCTTGCAGTTGTCGACTATCCTGGGTACGCATTGAATGGCTTTCCTTGCCTGTCTTGCACGGCTGATCAATACCCACCTTAGACAACATTGGAATGTAAGTGTCATACCTTGGAGGAGCGCATTGCAGTGCACCTGCTAATCTCGTGCATAATCTGCATCAGTCGCGCGAATCTCATCCATGCACGCCTGATTGAGACCACAACCGCGAAGTTCCCGCGGAAGGGCTGGTCGGAGCATTTCGCCCGTGTGATTGAGAAAGAGCTCGCGCTCAAACCCTGGTGCCATACGACTTCTTTCGAGGTGCCGAACTGGAAGGAGGGTGTACGGAGTAACTTTGCGACGGATGTACGGGGAAACGATGTGATGCGTCCATTCGATTGAGCAGGGCAGCCGCAGGATGTTGTACAACACAAACTTTTACGAAAGCATATCACCTAGAACCCTCCACGCTTCTGCCTTGAGCTGGGGACAAGCCAATACGGTCTAGACCGGGGAGCATGACGGTAGCGGCGAGCGAGGACCGTTTGGGAGATGCGGGCGGCAGCCCCCGAACATTTGTTTGTGCTTGTTGTCCTAGCGACGCTGAACAAGTTGCACGCTCGTCTTCGACCGTCCAGCACGCCTATCCTTCTCTTCCCTCCCCGTCGTCGTCGACTTTAAAGAAACCGTCCGCTCCTTGCGTATCCTACAGCCCTTTGCCATGAAGACTATTGCGGCAGTCACCATCTTCGCCTCGGTCGCTTTGGCCCAGCAGGTAAGTTTTGTTTCATGCCAGCTGTGGAAGAAATGGATGAGGGAATGCGTGCCAGGCCATGGGCAGGATATATGGGTCGTGCCGATGAACACTATGAGAAATGACCCTATCGCAAGTATGAGCACGGGTTCTTGCCTGGGATAGATTAGGTTAGAGTGCAGGCAGGCCCTATCGCATATATCCTGCCGTGGACGTGGACTTAGTCTTGCTCTCGCTACTTGAGCGGATGTTCATTGTCGCCGTAGAAGTCCTATATCTGGATGGAGTGCGTAGAGGTTTCCCTCGAGCCGCTCTCGCACACATTATGCTATCTTCACTGAGAGCATCTAATGCCGCCCCTTACTCCCGGCGTCCATCCTGCACATTCTCTTTATCAGGTACCAGTCTATGTAGCAATGGCTGACGAATGATCCTTAGGCCTCCCTCATTCCCTCCGGGATTAGTTCTTCATGCGAGACATTCTTCAACACGTTCGACAAAGACACTACCCTCACCAGCTGCACGTCTTCTCTGATCACCGCCACTGGTGCCTTTGCGCCTACTACAAACGCTACCGCGACCGCTCCCTCGGCCTCGGATGCCAAGACCGCGCTTACTGCTGTCTGCGCCGCGAGCTCGTCGTGCGAGGAATCTACCATCCGCTCGAAGCTCGCCGACTTCTATCAGGCTTGCACCCCCGAGCTTACAACGAACCAGAACAACGAGGTGATCAGGACTTACGACGTGCTCTATGCCCTCACGCCCCTCAAGAACGCGATCTGTTCCAAAGACGACAGCGGGAACTTCTGCGTCTCCACCATCGCCTCGACCACGTCCCAGTCCGCGTCCGTGCTCGACAACATCGCCAAGGCCATCTCCGTCCCCGTCTCTAGCTCCTCGGCCAACGCGCGCCGTGACGTCGCCCAGGTTGTCGCGTCCGTTGCACCCAACGCGACCACGATCGCGAACAACAACGTTCTCTTCCTCCTCCTCCAGCCCAGCCTTGCAAAGGACTCCCTTTGCCAGACGTGCACTCGCAACGTTATCACGTCTTACATCTCTTTCGAATCGTCGACCCCCTACGCGCCGGGTCTCGCGTCATCAGTTCTCCTCTCCGGCCAGTCAGCCCTCTACCAGGCGGTCCAGAGCACTTGCGGCTCAAGCTTCCTCAGCGGCGCTGTCGCGGCTGCTGCCGGTCTCTCGGGCGGTATCGTTGGTGGCGCCTCCGACTCTGGTGCCTCCCGCGCGATCTTCGCCAACTCGGGCATCGCTGGCGCGATCGTCGCCGTTGCCGCCATGGTCCTGGGCACCGCTCTCTAAGTGCTCTTCGGAGCTTAGAATCGGTACTTCATCAGGTTGGGTGAATGTGGGAGGGTGCGAGCACTCGTGGCTGCTGCTGTTGAGTATGCTTTGTATCGGCGACGGTCCGTCGTTGCGTGTCGCTATTCGTAACGTAGTATACCCCGTGGGTGTGTGTTGCGTTTAGATAATAGGTGATTTCTATTCATCTTGTTTGCCCTGTTGAACGCTGCGAAGTGTCTATGTGGCAAGGATACCCTTATTGATCGCATTGGCTTTGGCCTGGATGCCTGTGCTGTTCACACTGTTATCGGGTGGTCGGTCGTAGAGGTAAGGTAAACTTGCAGGCGGTTTTGTGACCTATCGCTGACGAAGCCAAAGAATTCAGGGTCGGATTGTTGGCGCAGGGGGTGTTAGCCAATTACCCTGTGTCTTGTCCTTGTGCAGATCGCAGAACGGGCCCTCATTCTGCCCAAGGGAACAGCTTGGCAACGCCCACGAACCTACTTAAATCCAAGGCTCTGATCTCACGGGCACTGAAAAGAGTTGTTGGATAGCCTCCTGTCCGTGCCTCTTCAGGCGTCAGTGTTCCGGAATATATAGCTAGGAGTCGGGCGAGGCCTTGTTGGTGCGATCCGAACCTTGAAGTCCTGTCGGCCGCGGCGACGGGCGTCGTGGTTAGTTGCCCTATAAACAGACAGGAGGTACACGCAGCTGGAGGGCTTGTCCGGCGATAGTCCATCTCATTCGGAAATTTGCTCTGAAAATTGTAGCTACAAGGGGCAGGAGTAAAGGGTGGCGGAGCGAAGACATTGCAAAGAAAGCCATGAGTGCGAGTGAATGCGATAGCATCCGGATATGGTTTTGTCCTGACAGGCTATTCAGCAGAATCTCTGGACGTGGGTTAATGTCATCACACACCATATGGATAGTCCATAGCCTAGAGGGGAACCGAAACAATTGTACATGAACGGGTGTAAAGTGGCCCGAGCCCGCCCGTCGAAGCCATTACGCCAAAAGGCAGAGTTACTGAGAATCTACGTTCTCAGCCACCGGCGGGTATATGTGCACATTACCGGGCTTGATCCTGCCAGCTAAGGGTGACCGCCACCCTTACAACGGGCTGCTTTCTGGACAACGCATTTAGCCACAATTCTTCGCGCACGCTGCACATCACTCTTCTGAGAGTAGTATCTCTCTCAAAGAAATGATCTTCATAATTAAGCAGTAAACAGGAATCGTGATCGAATAATGAGCAGTAGGGGCAGATCGACATGCACTTCGTCTCCGTTGCCCCTAAGTACTGCTTTTGAATTGAGAATCCGGTGAACACTGCATTGCGCGGTCACCTGATACGGCGCGTTCAATACCAGATCTTGATAAGACCTAACCCTAGTACAATGGTAAGTTCTCATACCAATACATTTTGCAGCTTTGTTCAAGATAAGAATCCTTGTGTTCCCCGAGTATAGGTGAAATACTGGATGCCCAATTGCGTTCAGATATTGAGGGAGAACGTTGCTTCAGCGGTGTTTGCCGCGGCCGTACTACTACCCGCGCGCTTGCCACCCGACTTTCTCACGCCAGACGCGGCCAGGTTCGCGTTTCTTTCGCTGCACCTTCTTTCGCGTCCTCTTCATTGGACTGCAACCACCATCCTTTCAATACTCGGTCTTCTGCGATCTCAAAGATGTCGGCGTTGAGAAACAGCCCCTACTATCGGTCAGTGATCTCTAGGATGCAGTCTCATACTCGTATGGACTCAGTGGTTGTTCAGGAAACGGACTCATTCGATCGAGTCCATCGACGACTCCGACCGCAAGAGATTGCGAAGGTTTCCCACCCTTCCTTTCGACGATGGTGCATCCTCAAGCATGGTTAGTGATACTGATGACACGTCGCTATCGATCTCTGCTGACCGCCAGCTCGCCACAGCCCTCTGCTGGGCCTTCCCGAGGAGGATCCCAGACACGGCTCAGTCTGGAACGCTCGTTCAGCCAGGACCTCTCGAGACGCCTCGAACAAAGTCCACGAAGGCCACGTCTGAGTGCCTCCTCGTCATTCCTCCACTCGGCCCCGCTATCATCGCGCGCTTCGTCCATGTCCATGGATGACGACGGGTTCCGGCACGCGCTTGTTCGGAGCGCCTCCTCAAGTGATCTCCGCAGGAAACGCGAGTCGATGGGCCCGGGCGGCGACATCCCCATGTTCAAGGAACACTCTGCATTTCATGTTCTCAAATCCGTGAACAATATCGACTACTCCGTTTCCCCCGCCACGGACGCCGCAGGCGCCACGGCGGGTTCGCCGATCGGATGGTCTCATTCAAACGCTCTTGTTTTCGGTCGCGGGAACCGCGTCTACTACAAGAGCATGGCTGATACAGAGGGCGTCGCGCAGCAATTGTGCAAGATCACCGATAGTATGGGCAGCCTTTCCCTCGTCCAGTGTGCGGGCGAGAACCAGCCGAGCACGGTCGCGCTAGCCACCTCGAACGGTCACATGCAGCTTTGGGACTTAACGACAAAGCGCCCAACGATCCAGTGGAAACTGAAGGGCCCCAGCGCAATGATCTTCAATGGGACGACCCTGACCGTCGGCGACGAGAAGGGCGCGCTGCGCCACTACGACACGCGGGTGACCGACCCCGCTAAATTGAAGGACCAGGCGACGAAGGTCACCCGCCACCAAGGGCGCATCACTACTCTGGCTTGGCACCGCGACAAGTTCACTGTGGCTAGCGGGGACCAAAACGGCCTTATCCTCGTGTGGGACGTCCGCAAGCCCAGGGTCCCTCTCGAGGTGGGCGAGCTCGTCCAGCGTCGCCGTAAAATGCAACACGCCGGCGCGATCACGGTGAGTGCCTCCCTTCCTGCGCCCGGCCAGCCGACGGCTCATGAGACACATTAACCCGCTGCCGCAGGCACTCGCCTGGTGCCCATGGTACGGCAAGTACCTCGTCTCAGGGGACTCCGCCGCGGACAAGACCGGCACCATCCGTATCTGGGATATTGCGAATGACCACGGCCCCGAGTCTTCCTCGCGTCCGCCCGAGCGCCCCAACAAGCTCGAGTTCGATGCGCAGATCACCTCGCTGCACTTCTCGCCTCACATCAATGAGCTGCTGAGCACTCATGGGCCAGGCAAGCCGACGGAGGTGCCGTCTTTGGTCCGCGTGGACCCGCTGCAGTCGCGCATGGCGAACTCGATCGTCGTGCACCAATTCCCCCTCATGCGGCACGTCACGACAGTGAGCGTCGCAAGGAAGAACATCGCGGGGAGCGTGCTGAGCCCGAATGGGCACCGGATCGTGCTCGCGGTGCCGGAGGAAGCGCAGTTGAAGGTGTGGGACGTGTGGGGGAAGTTCAAGGCGCCGAAGCAGAAGAGCTTGTTCGAGTCCTGCGCTATCCGGTAGACGGAGGAAGCACTAATCGACGCCAAAGGCTGTAGAGACTGTCTTTTTGGTGAGTACTGAACTTCACGGAAATGGTTCAGCAGAGACGTGATGTCACTGACATCTTCTGATCGCACAGGGCCGGATTCTGCATCCGTCAGGGTTAACGGCGTTTGCGCCCAAAGTCTGCCCGTTCGCGATACCTTGATGACAGCATAGTACTAGAAGGTAGGTCACCCGATCTCGAGTTATGATGTATGATGCAGCCGTCCACCCCAAGATGTATCATTGTTCCCCCATTTCGGCGTGGCATAGTGTTGTTTTTCCGTGTGCTTTGTGTATGAATCTCCGTCTCTCTCCTTCCTTCCATCTCGTTGAGTCCCTGTCTCTCGGGTAGCGTTCTCTAGTGTTCGTGATACATGGCTGTACTACTGTATTCCTGTGGTGTACGCTTACTATCGTGGCAGGGACATTGATACGGATGTGATCTCCCTATGTTACGGATGTGATCTCCCTATGTTACGGATGTGATCTCCCTATGTTGTGGTTGTCGGCGGTTTGTGGGGATCGTAGCCTACGAAGTTGATTGTAGGTGGATGTGTTGAAGACTATGTACGAGATTTTCGCTTTAATGAACAGATATCTAGGACATCGGGTCTTTGGGATTGATCTAGGTGATATCACGGTGCCGCTCCGGGTGCTTTCGGGGTAGAATGGATAACATAGAACGTTCCGGCTGCCTCGCTTTCCACCGAGGGAAGTCATGACAACTACGTATCCGAGCTTCTGATTGCGAGGACAACTGGTCCGAGTTGGTGACCGCCAGGGAGTCTGATCGCATCGCCGAGCAGCTTGCCAGCTAGGTGTTGTGGGTCATTGTATCCGACCAAGATTTGCACATACAGATCCTGGACAACGGCCCGATTGGAAAGAAAGGTACTGTATCGGGAGGAGAAATATTGAAGAACACCATGTGTTTGAGCATATGGGTCCACCGGGTGCCAGTAGCCTCGAATCGGACTCATCAGCGCCCGTACACTGTTCTTGCATCACAACCACCAGCATACTCTAATGATTGACCTCGTCGTGTCGCTCACAGTCCCTGCTTTGACAATGCACCTCCTCAAGATGTTCGCCATGTGGACCGACTTTTGACCCGACCCCGCCCGCCACATGCACCGCCCGGTGATGGCTTCATCAAACCGAGGCCATCCGGTGTCTACTTAGCACGACTTGACCAAATGTCGAGTCGCCTCGCCTCCACGGCGGGTCGGCGCCCACAGCCACAGTTGTAATCATTGCTCATGCGAGATAGGCGACGCCGTTTCAAAATAGTTTCCCGCTCAGCGAACATGGCCGACGTGATCTGCTCATCATGGGTTGTCCGGCAAGCGTGATGAACGAGGTCCGGGTACGGTGACCGCAGTGCGAGTGCCTGTCAGAGTGCTCGTCCAGGCTGCTGGCCTCTTTGCGCACCTTTGACGAGGTCGTCGATCGTCTGGCTCCGGAGGCCCTCAGGTTGGCTTCTATCCCTTCGTTTGTTCACTGCTCCTGGTGAGCCCTGCTACGCCTCTCGGGCTGGTCTTGGAATCGTTCCGCACGGTCCCATCCCCCGTTTTTCTTTGCGCCCGCAGCGCGGCTTGCCCACGGTTCGGTGGAGGGCTTGAAGGACTCGTCAAGTTTGACCCTCCTGTCCCTCGAGAGCGAGCTGTCCATTTCACCTTCGTCACGGACTCTCTTATTTTCTATTAATCTTATTCCCCTTTTCCCGCGGACATCTGGACGCGGTCAGAAGGTCGCTTTCCCTGTTCTACACGCTTTCCGGTACCAGACGAATTCGTGCACATTCTCTTCTTTGTCTGCTCTCGGCTTGATTTGCTTCTCTTAACGGCTCTCGATACTCATGTCCGACCCTATCACCAACCCTCCTTTGGACTCCGGCTCTCCTACGGATTCAACGTCCACGAACCCCAACGTTACGGACTCGAACAATACAGATCCTAACGCGACGAACCCGGTCCCCACGGATCCTACTTCTACAGATTCCACGTCTACGGACCGCACCGATCTTAACGCAGGCACTACGACTGACCCTACTTCTGGTACTACGACCGATCCGAATGCGGGCAACGCATCAGACCCTAACACCGGTGAACCTACGGCGGATCCCAATGGCGGCGTTGACCAGAATGGAGGGGATTTGGGCAATGTAGGGGGCACGGATCCCAGCGCGGGGTCGGTGGGGCCAACGCAGACGACGGGATCTGCGCCTTTCTTGCCGAGGTGAGCTTTCCGAAATTCCATAATCCTTCCCCATACAGTCCTGAGGCGGTCATTCATGGCAAGTGCGATTCCCACTGCATCTGGTCAGCCTTCTGCAAACCCGAATGCCATCTCTGGGAGCGACCACAGACACAATGACGCAAACTCGGCTGGTTTCGACAGCCAAAGGTACGTCCCTCACGTTGACACACTTGGAATCGTCTAAATGATGCGCGTTGGACGGGAACTAGCAACAACTACCGCAAGGCAATCATCATTGCATCCGGCGTTAGTGGAGCGGTCGGTGTCATCCTCGTCGTGATTGTTATTCTTGTCGTCTACCGCCGCCGGAACAGGCGCAGGGACGGAAGCGGAGGCGGCGCGACCTTTGTCAACGCAGTACCGAAACCGCCGCGCCCAGCAAGCGACGCGACATGGATTGGACAACGTATTACTCCCGCTGTTTCGTTCAACGAGGACAAGCTTGAGTCGGGCGACAGGGCCAGCAAGGCTGACAGCGTTGATTCGGACACCACGCTCGCTGATATCGCCGTTTCACGTGCAAAGTATGGGACGTACAGCACGCCGACGCATACCCCGCGCCCTTCCGTTGACAAGCTCAAGATCGCGGACGAGCCTCTCGTGCCCAAGGATCCCTTCGAAGCACCCCGCATGTCTATCGTTAGCGTGTCCCGCCGGTCTCTCGAGCAACAGGCACCCCAAGGACTTCCCATTCCGCGCCCTCGCAAGGCCGCTCCCGGACTTCGTGTAACATCCATCGGCAGCTTCGTTAACGACGTTGTCGTTGAACAGGGTAATGGCCAACCTTCGCCGGACCTTCCGCTGATTACGCCCATTGAGCCTCCCGCCGGCTGGCGCGCTCAGTTGGACGACTACGCAGTGGACGCTTTCGCGTTTGTTCCTCCTCCCGCACGCCGTGACTCGATGGCCTCGCTCTCTCGCCAATCTTCCCGGGCGTCGTCCCGCAACTCACGCAATCTCGATGAGATCGTCAGCCCCCGCAAGAAGGCCGTGTTCTCGGTGATCTCAAAGAAGCGTCGCTCGCGCGCTGACAGCATTGACCCCTTCCGCAAGTCTGCCGCGTCGATGGTCACCCGCCGCAAGTCCGCTCGTACTTCTCGTGCTGAGGGAGCTATGGGTTTCGTCCGTCGTAAGTCAGGTCGCTCATCGCGCGCCGAGTCCGTGGCAACTCCCACCACTCCCGGGGGTCGGGGCAGATCTCGTGCAAGCAGCATCGGCCGGCCCACGACCCCTGCTGGCCGCAGCCGTACACCAAGTGCAGGCCCTCCGCCGACTCCTCGTCGTCGGTCGCAGGCAACAGTGAACCAAGCCCAGATCTTCTCTACACCCATCGCCCCTCCCCCTGTTCTGCCTGGACTGCCCAAGACGCCTCGTACGCCTACAACTGCGCGTCAATCGCGCATTGTCGGCACACCGGTGGCGTTCGGACCTCGCACCCCACGTACTTCCGGCGTCCCGCCCGTGCCCCAAACACCGCGCACCGCTCCGCTCGACCGTGAGGCCCGCACACCGATGACTGCCCAGCTACGTACGCCCTCGGTTGCCTACGAATCTCGCGCCGATGGCGTCCGCCTACGGATCCCCCGTGCGGCCCTGCCTCGCACGCCCATCTCGCTCGAGGATGCGCATTGGGAGCCGGTGCCCTTGCCTGAGTCCCCCTTGCCGACTCGGTCCACCAGTGCAAGTGCTACGACACCTCGGCCACTGCCAGCGACTCCGGTGCGCCCACGCACGCCGAAGACGCCAAGGTCTGCTCGAGCGGAACTTAGCTTGTCGCAGGTGTCGCGTGCGCTGTCTGAGGTGTCGGGCGAGTCGCTGGTCTAAGCGGTGCGGCGTTGGTTTGCTTACGGACTTCTGTGCTAGCGGTGCGTTTCGCCTGACGTTTGCTATCGTCACCACTCCATGCCGCGGCTTTTCTCGCCAGCGGCCTCTCCCCTTAGGCGATACGCGGACTTTGGCGGACATCTGTTGTTGCTGTTGTGTACTCTTAGTTCCTCCCCACCCTCCTCGTGTACTATGGTGCGTCGGCCTGTACGATCTGTGTTCTGAGTTGTATCCTGAGTCCTATCGTGGATTCTGACGTCCACCCCTGCGATCGTCGCGTGTTCATGAAAACTCGCACGTCTGTTAATGTGCGCCGTGTTTTGTGCCAACCTGCGGCTTGCAGCGCATGTGATCGTGTGTCGGTATCCCAATGCATAGACAACATGCACACTATTTACATAGGTCTCGTGTGCGGTCACTGTGGCTGTTCGCTACGCAAACCAGCACGCCCGCCCGAGCAGTGTGGTCGTCGTCATAAACATCAAAATTACTCGGATCGCGCCACTGAGCAATGTATATGCATGTACGATTGGGAAGAGCATGATGATCGTGAGCTTGTATCCAGGACTTGCAAAAGCTAATGAAGTGCGGCAGGCTACCGAAGGCAGGGTGCGAACTTTGGATGTCAGTCATGGGATGTAAGTCGTTCGTGCTCGTCACTTACATCGCCCACAGTGCCAACATACACTATCCGACATTCTCAGATTTGTGGGTAGACCATGATCCTGTGTATATGGCTGTTGTCGACAGAGATTGGGATGTGACCGGAATCTTCCTTCGACATGGATCGTACAGCGTGCTTGGTTTCTTGACATTCGGGTAAGTGATAGGGCCTCACCGCTCGGGGAAGTATCAGAATAGTCCTTTGCACGCCTGGCAAGTTGTGAGGATGACTTTGTCTAGGAAGGCCGCAATCTGATGGGTGTGGTGTACACTCTTCGGTGGAGCCGACCTGTGATTGCAGTCATGAAGCCGTCCTTGCAGATCTGAAGGCGTATCTTATGGCACTTTCAGGACTAGACATGCAGTGAGAATATGCACGGGTGAAAAATATTTATTGATGAAGTGCACGACGGGTGTAATACAGGATGGAAAGGATGTCAGGCACCTCGTAAGGTCGTCACCTCGTGTGAACGCGAAGAACGGCCGAAATAATGCCCGATCAACAGAAGTCGATATTCCCTTCATTAGCAACTCCCGACCCGATGAAATGCGCAGTAGACTGAGCAGGTCGAGCTGGGAGTGAATAGCAAGGGGACAAGAGCAGCAGCAGCGGACAAGCCAGCGATGATCATGTTCATCCGATGACACATCAGGAAGAGCGCGGGAAGGCATTCTGGACAATCGATGAAATTGGAGACTTCTTCAGGTCGACCAAATGGTGGAGAAGAACGACAAGACGAGGAGAATTTGTGAGGCGGCCCTGCTAGTTTGTTGGTGTTTAGGGCCGGTCGATATGCATCATATGGGCGCTTGTATCAGCTTCTTGGAGATAGGCGACATCGTTCCTTGGAGTCCAACCACTGCGATCTCGGGATACATGTGCTGACCTTGACAACATGCCCCTCATGACTTGCGTTGTCGGCTTCAATATACGCACGAAGAGCTGTAGAAGTGTAGTCTCGTGACCAGACGTTCGGAGCTTTGAGCGGAAATGAAAAAACCGGGACTTTCCGCGCTCCTGAACGTCTGGTGGATCCACCCCCGTGACTCCCCGCTCGGTGACCTGTGTGACATACCGACGCCCCGTTAAGGTAATCCGACAAAGTCGGAGGGCGCCCTCGCGGTTGCACGCTGTCCTAGTTACAAGCTTGCATACCTCCTGTACTGTGCACAATGGCTCGAGCTCTCGGTCAACAATCTCCTCCACGCACTCTAGGGCAAACTCCTCGAGAGCCTTCCTAGCGCCCTGGGGCCGTACATGATGGTGTCGTGAGGAGGATGTGCGAGGGACCTTGTACTAGCGCTCGAGAATGCGGGGAAGCTCCTCCATCAGCAAAAGTGTATAAATGTTGCCGAACATTACCTGCCTGCACCCCCTCAGGCAATTGCGGAAATACCATGCAACATATAAGCAATATTGGGCGCACCTTGTCTGGTTTCCATCCTAGCGCAATATAGCTGACCAGATTGGAAGACCAGGCAATGTCCGAAAATACCAGGCAATACTGGCAACGTCGTGCCAGTATTGCCTGGTATTGGTAGCATTGCACACGCTTGCAATAATAGCGATCGAACGCCGCAACTTTCTACATTGCGCGAGATTGTTGGAGTTGCGAGATGGGGTAATATTGAGAAGCCCAGGCAGCACAGGGCAACAAGCTGTATATGTTGTCAGATATCCGGCACCTTGCCTCCGATTTTTGGTGTGGGGCGGTGGTAGGACACTCGGAGGATACACGGGCGGAAAATATATCGCGGAAGCAGA